TATGAAGAAAGATGAGTTCACTCCGGTATATTGGAATAGTATCCCACTGTTCCCACCTATATATATAATTTCAATACCATAAAACTGGGTTTATTTAATGATAGAGCTTGACTTCCTGATTTGTTGGTGGTTTGTAAAATTGTAGATTCCATTTGCTTATCCCATTATTTGGATTCATAGCTGTTTTTCAGTCATAGCATGGACAGATTGAAAATAAGTCTTTAAGAATACTGAGATGTAACTGAAAGTATTCATACTCTTCTCATGTGTACCAATATCAATGCCTCATGTGAATACCAGACAACCACCCATATCTTACCAGTCCTTGGCAACTAAGCTGTGCAATGCATTTTCACTTCTTACATGGCAATAATGCTATCTGTGATCGGAAGAAGTAATAGGAAGAATCCCCGTAGTCTCACTTTTAGACCCTCTAAAAGACCAAGCTAGCTACTTGATCTATGACGAATCAGCAAATTAAAGGCGCTTAAAAAATGTGAAAGTAAAGTCTGAGTCTTGCTTGTGATGTTGTAGAATATAGTGAGCCAGGTCATAACTGTGGACGTCTATTCTGGCGATTGGTCATGAATGGGTCAAAACAGCTCTGTTTTATGGTTTGTGGGTGAGATAAATTTTCCATGTTATAAGCAGGGTAGAGAATGAGATTTACCCAACAACAGTTGAATTTTGCAAACATTACTCCAAGTATTCAGAAATGAGTCAAATTTCAGAATGGGACTTGCTCATGAGTAACTGTCATGTCCAGACTCCAGGTTGGCTGGAAGGCTTTGAGCTGGTATTGTGTTTGGTTGGGATTAAGCTATACAATAGGTATTCTGGTTATGGAGGGCATAAGGTCCTTCACCTTTGGATGCAGGGCATCTGAATCCTTGATTAGGATTGACGATCTGTTTCTACGACCTGGATACCTTGAGAACCTTTGTTGAGGTGTATTGAAGATTCAAACATATTGGATGGTGACTGTGTCACTGTATCATTGATTATGTTATGTTTTGCTGATATTTGGATGGATTGGATTACTGTTGAAGTTTTTGTGGTGAACTGAACTAGTCAGTAGTATAATAGAACGAGGTGTTTTAAGGGAACTTATAAATTATTCTGACAGAACAGAGGATGGTTGACCTTCGATTAGTTGATTGGCTTTGTGAGCAATCTTTATTTTAAAAAAGATGATCTGGTAGGGATTTGAATGGCAGTGAATTTGATTTGCGACATCTCTACTGAGACCAAGAGTGGTGATACCAGATGAATAAATTATTTTTTGTTGATCTTTTTACTTGAACAAAACTAAAACCTCTTGGTGAAGCAAATACTTGTTGGAGTATATGGTGCAAAACTCGAAAATGGCTATAACATAAATCCAAGTCTCTGCCTGCAAGCTGTTAATATTGGTTCAAATGTCTATTTCTTTTATTTTTTGTGCATTGTGTATTTACTTAGTAAATGTGATAGTTATTTTGTATTCTGGTTATTCTAATGACTTGCCCAAAAGCGCAATGCAACAACTCCATCCTCTCTGTCTCATTTTTGGTTATTCTGGCTTGTATAAATGGTGATAGTTATTTGGTTATTCTGGTTATTAAAGTGATAGTTATTTATTTTTCTGATATTCCGATGACTAGCTCAAAGCATTTTGCACACCCGCATTTTTTTTTGGGTGTAGGTGTTGGGTTTTTTGTTTATTGGTGGTGGGGCAGGATGGGTGTCCTTCGCCCTCCTTTCCTCCCCCCTCTCTCTCTGCTTTCTCTCCATTCTACCGAGCTCTCCCTCCCTCTCCATTCAACTGAGCTCTCCCTCCTTTCCATTCACCTGAGCTATGTTAAATGGATCTGTTAAATAGAGGTGTCAGAAGATGAGGACGCGTTGAACTTATCATATGGATGCTCTGCCATTAGATCTGTTAAATAGATGTGCAGAAGATGAGGGAGCGTCGAACTTATCATATGGATACTTTGCCATTAAATGGTGTATTAATATATATTTTTGAGTTTGAAAATTGGTTTGGATATAAAAAATTTTGATTTGTGCATACCATATTTTTGAAAAAGAAAAACTTGATTTACGCAGCTCATATTTTATGCAAATGTATATGATGATTAATTTAATCATACCAAGAGCATTTTTCGCCGGAATGCAAGAGCTCATATTTTATGCAAATGTGTACGATGATTAATTTTATCGTACCAAGAGCATTTTTTGCCCTAATGCAAAATGACACTCTAATTTGTCCATCTGTAGTGAATGTTAACACTTACTATTCTAAGTCCAGGTAAGAGTCGCGAGTTAGTAGTTCCAATGCCCCATTCATGCGAAATTCGTATGGCTTCTTAGTGGCTTGGTTAAGTCATTTGCTTAGAGTCATCATGTCTGCCAAAAATTTTGTGAGCTCAACATCAGGGTCTTTAGAAAAAACGCCCAGCTTTTAATTGGTTAGCGCTTAATGATTTGCAATGTTACGTTCTATGCTCGATTTCTAAAAAGGTAGGCTCGATTTCTACAAAAGGTAGGGGCTTGCTCTGCACTGACCAAGGAAAAAAAACGTTAGGGTCATTAGCATTCTTAAAAAATAAATGTTCAAAATAAATGGATGCAGTTAAAATGCGGTCAAGCCTGCACATGTACAATTGTGGGCTTGGCAATAAATATATTTTTAAATATGATTTGATCTTTATTTTTGGATAATATATAATCTTAAACATGGAGGTCATAAATATGAATAAATAAATAAAATTTGAAAACTAAAAATAATAATTATGTTAAGAAAACATTTGGACCGTTAGTTACCATTATTTTTAGATGGACCACCTATTTGCATCCATCTTTAAGATGGATGCTTAATACCTCTGGACCACATAATACCTCTTTAAGATGGATGCTTAATACCCCTGGACCTCTAGTTCAGCAGTCCAGTAAAATAGAAAATAAATTCCCAAAGCTTATGAGATCCAGGGAATGATCTATTTGCAATGAGGTTGTAAATTGGCACAGTATATAAAGTCAAATTTATTGGAAATCAAAATTGTTTCATATGTATTTGCTTACCTTTGAAGGGCATTTATGCGTTCATTTTCAATATTACAGTGGTGATACAAATAGTTCCCCGTGAGGACCATAATTTGTTAGCAGAAGTTTGCTCTTATTATCAATGATTATTCCGATATGATGGCTTATGAATCATCTCACATAAAGAAAGGCAATGTGACAAAGCATCAAAACTGATTCGTCGATAAAAATATAAAAAATTTAAATAAAATAATTAGATTAATTTGGTTCATAGGAGAAATAATAAAGAGCATTGAGTTGATAAAGATAGAGAAAATTGACTCAGGAACAAATTAAACCTCCATTTGCAAAGGTAAGGCCTAAACATTAATAGAAAAGCTATGGGAGCGATGGAACCAGTGACTGCTTAAGATTCTATTGAAAATGAATCCTAATGGTTCATTGGATGGGATGGCGGAACAAACCACCAACCATAATCTTATTGGGGTATTTGCGAAGGTGAGCATCCTTGGTCAGCAATGTTTTTATTTAATTTATATGTTTGGATGTATAAAGTCTTTGATTGGATGATTGAGAATTAACACACAATAATTATTAATTCTAAGGTGAAAAGAAAATTGAAATTAATAAATAACATTAAATTGGCTTGCCTTGATCCTGTAATTTGTGTGTTGGATGTATAAAATCCTATGATCTTTCATCGGATGATTGGGAATTAGTAGGCAATAAAAATCACGCATTAATTTAAAAAAACAATTGAATCAATTAATAACATTTTATTTTTGGCTTTACCTGAACGACCGGATCAGGATCATATGGATGTGGTTTCTGGATTTATATAACTTAAATATATGTGAATGCTCACAAAAAGAGAATTTTATTTGTAAACCCCCCAACGTATACGCGTGAGCAAGGCATTCTAAGCTTTTAACGTAATTTTGATATCTGAGCTTTTAACATAATTTTGAATCTAAGCTTTTATCATAATTTTGAAATCAGTGTTGGATACTCCCCCAACGATACTAAAATAACTACATTAAATGACAGCATAAATAGGAGAATTGGAGGTAACGGAGCTCTGGTACAGCTTAAGCTTAGATTGTCAAAATGCTTGATTCCAAAATGCATTTGTGCAGCTTTGATTTTGTTTCCAAAATTTTCTTGCTACTCTCCTATGGTTTTTGTCATGAACCTGATTGTCTATTCTTCATTCGTACAATAGATTTTCTTCAAAAATAAAAAATTAAAAATTAAAAAATGTTAGATCTCCCTCTCACAGATACAATATCTCTCTCTCTCTCTCCCACAAACACAAACATTACTTGGTTGTGAGCATATCAGTTTATATAAAAATCCAATCCATCACTTTTAAAGAAAGAAAACGAAAATGAACATCAAGATACAAAGGAACATATATTTCGGCAGAAATAAAGACAATTTTGTCTTCATGCCGACTAGTTAACACGGCAAGAGAAGTTTCATTGTCACCAGCTAATTAATTTATTCATTTATATGTATTCAGTGTTTGTTCCCCTAAGAACTAGTTTTTTTACGCTCCCATTCATCTTTAAATTTCATAACTGAGATTCATTAGGTTTCTTGAGTAGGTTTGAACTTCAAACCAATTGTCATCTTTAAATTTCATAACTGAGATTCATTAGGTTTCTTGATTAGGTTTGAACTTCAAACCAATTTATGAAAGGAAATGTATACAATGAGATGACTTACTTTTGATACAAGGATATCATAATCATCATTAATCGTTAGATTTGAAATCGGGTGGTTGAAGATGTGTTATTGTTTGGCCAGAAAGTCCAAAATAAAATTTCTCCAATGTTGTGACACTTTCCTCTTTGGATTTCACATCCAAAGACTAAAAAGAATTGTGACCACCTTCTACCGAAAATCAATTGTCTCATAGTATACAACCCTTAATGGAATTCAACCTGGTACCAAAACCAAAGAAATTGAGAAGAGAAGGGAAAAGAATACAATACTAAATATTGAATATTTGAATAAGCATACAAAATTTCTTACATAAATGGACAACTAAATAAAATGTTTCTTAAATTGATCCAAACATGGATAAAATGGCAAACAACTGTTACAGAAGCCTAAGATCTAACCCCATGAAGAGAAAATTGAAAGGGAAGAGAAAAATGGTGGTTAGTTCTCTTGTAGAAAAAATTTAGATCTCAAAAGTTGGAATTCCTTGCTACCATTTTGCATGCTATACTGCAACAGGTTCTGCAACTGTCTTGGAAGCATGAATCTCAACCTAAGTCATAACTCATTATGTCAAAAAGATGCAATTTATATGAGGGGAATCTCAACCTAGGCCATTAATCATTATATAAAAAAAGATGCAATTTATATAAGGGAAAAGAATTGTCATCTTGCAAGACCATAGTTCCTCAAAACACAGGAAGATCTTTTTTGACGTACAAATTTTCAGATCATCTCTACCCATTCTAAGAATTTTTTTTTGGGTGGGGGGTGGGGGGGAGGGTGGGGGAAAGGATGGTTTAGAGCTCAAAAGATAAAAGATTGATTGTTTCTAAACTGCCCATTTGAGGGCCAATCAGATCTAGGACTTTAAGAGCTAAAACACTATTTCTTTTCAAAATTGTAGTTTTTTTTCCAAAATTGCTCAGGAGGAGAATCAAAGATGATATGAAAATTTTCAGCGCTGATGGCGTTTCTCACAAGACCACCCTAGCAGGCCCATTATATAAAAGAAAACCAACAATAACAAATGATACAAGATAAAAGTGAAAAATTGTTCTTCCATGGCAAGCAGACAGAAGAAAACTAAATGTATTTCTAAAACCTTGATTATATATATAAAAAAAGAAGAAGAATACTTCTTAAGATGCACACTAGTGCTTATGCATGTATTGAGAAAATGTATATTGAGAAATTCATAGGTACATATATAATTTCGTTTTAAAATTCAAAGGTGCATACCTTGGCAGCTTTGAAGAGTTCATCGAGCACTTCAGACAAGGTTGGATGAGCATGAACAGCAAATTTAATGTCCTAAAAACATTCATAAAAGACATGATCCAATAAGTTAATATAGCATGCCCACGTATGGTTTTCCCTTGTAAGAAAAGAAGAGGGTTCATCTTACTTAAATATTATGTGCATATTCAGAAAATAAGTACTACTCATTATGCTAATATATAGGAAACAAGGATTACTCTAATATCTATTCATAGTTTATAATCAGCAAAACCTAAAAACATTCTTAAAAGACATGATCCAATAAGTGATACAGCAAGCCCGTGTATGGTTTTCCCTTAAAAGAAAGGGGGTTCATTGTGCTTATTGTTAAATAACATCCATAAAAGACATGATCCAATAAGTGATGTAGCATGCCTATGTACGGTTTTCCCTTAAAAGAAAGGGGGTTCATCCTTAATGTTAAATAATATATGCATATTCATAAAATGAGTACTACTTATTATGCTAATATATAGAAAACAAGTATTTTTCATATATATTTTGGAGTTATGTTAGGGTTCTCATACATATGAGCATTTTCTTAATGTACTTAACATTTTTGAACACTCATTATCGCAGAACAAGGGGCAATGAGTGTCCAAAAATGTTTATTATCACCCCTTGTTCTCTGATAGTGAGTGTCCAAAAATGTTATTTGGCCGTGATAAACTGTCAATTTTAAATTTGATCCCCTGGACAATTAAGTATGGACAAAAATCGACACAAAATATGACTTCAAGATTCCCTTGGCATATGAGTTAAAATTATGTAAGATAAGCATCAAACATTTCCATTCACAAAAGGTCTCCAAAAACAAAGCAAATCTAGATTTCACAAAAACCTTGTTTTTCCACAATCTATACCAGCTAATAAGGCTTACAGGTCCCAAAAACAACCAGCTAACTATGACAATAGGCAGCAGTCTTGGTCTTGCACACTGAAGAGATTCTTTGCCCCTACAAGATCTAACAAGGATAAGAAGTATTTCCTAAGGTTTAATATGAGAACTGATGTGAAAAAAAGAAGCAGCGAAAAACACTCTGGAATTTGTTCAGCACATTTTGTTCCTGTTTAGAACCCTATCAGAACTTCTATTGTTCTACACATTATCATTATGAGCTCAAGTTCATTATGAAAATAAACAATTCACTTCTTTTACTTGAGGCAATAATAACTAAGCTTTAGAAGCACCACAGGCATACCTGAATACGTGTACCCAATGCTATGGCGTTGGACGCCTCATGGATCAGATCTGCAGCATGCAATCCCAAAATATGAACCCCAAGAATCTCCCCAGTGTCTGGTCTGTATATCAACTGCATGAAATGGGCATAGTTTAGACAATGGCAGGTTTTGTACTCTACATACTCTTCAGAAAATTAGAAATATGATGTACGTCTCCAGTGTATGAGACAAAAACCACATACCCATTTGGCAGTTAAGAATGCAAATCAAGAAAATAAACCAAGGCCGGGTACACCATTAAATGTGATCTCCACGCAAACACAAAATGATTGCAAACATAGAGAATAAATACAAGATGTTAATTTCTTTATTAGAATTTTAGAAAATGTGCTAAAGAATAAAGTGAAATGCATAGTTGCATGAAATATTCAAAATAAAATTATAAAATTACTGGACACTTGGTACTGTGATATTACAAGGTGAGTTTCTTCCCACACCAGAAACATGCAAAAGGGGTTGATTTTAGTGTACTGCAGTATGTCTTGCATCAAGAAGTAAGGGGAAGCTGCTTAAAGTCACCATCAATGAAAAAAGATAATACATATATATGGAAAATTAGCTTTCGATTAGCAGGTTCACTATGAGATGCATGATAAGATATGTCATCAAAATTTTACCTTTGCAAGCCCCTCCCCTTCATTTTCTGCAAGAGCCTTTGTGTTGGCCTTAAAACTTGTCTTGGCTACACTTATTTTAAACCCTTCCTTGTCAGCTTTCTCCTTTGCTTGTGGCTGAAGATAATAGTGCAAACATGGTGAAATGAACTTCATATTATGACATGAAGCTCCCAAAATGGGCATCATCAGAGGCTACATAAATATAAGAGAAAATATCTCTATGCCCCTTATTTTAAAATTTTATTTCACAATACCCCCCAGGTTTTAAAAGATATCTTGGGGCATAAAAATTCTAGATTTTATCTCTTCTAACCCCCAGAGTTATTTTAAACCTGTTTTTTTAGGCCAAACAAATCTAAAAAGACATGTCTTTTCTAAAATCCATCCTCCCAAACATCTATATAGAGAGGGCCTTCATGGAGGTGAGAGATTATCGGAAGGAGAGAGAGGTGTTTGGAGAAACACGAGAGGAGAGAGAGGGTGAGAGACACAGGAAGAGAGAGAGAGAAGTTTGGGGTATAAAAGTGAAGAGACAAAAAGGATTGGGTTTAGAAAGAGTATGTCTTTTTCACATTTGTTTAGGTTAAAAAATAGGTTTAAAGTGGCCAGGGGGTTAGAAGATATCTTTTGAAACCTTGGGTTTATCAAGTTATGAAACCTAAAAATAGGGGATATGGAGATATTTTCCCTAAATATAAACACATTAGATCAAGAAGATCTATTAAAGAGAACAATAAAAAAACACCACATAAGATCACGAAAAATGGAGATGTTAAATAGAAGATATAATAGCAAGAATAAACAGAAATCGTGAATTAAACTAGAACATAACATTGCATAAAGCTACTTAATGAAATGGAGAGAAGTAAGGAAATTATAAGAATTACAGACCCTCAAAATGTACCGATAAACAACTAACAGAAAACCTTTAGTCATAGCATGACCAGAGTCCAGATAAAAACACATGGTCTTAGAAAAGAAGTGTTCAGTTGTCCATAAGATATTTGACATTTTAAGAAAATTCAGAATCTTCGAAGCTTGAACACAAGCCCAGCTTCACACTCGAAGAGGATAATGTTTACCAATACTCCATACACTTGGGGAAACTAATTCAATGAAATTTTGAACAAGGTTTCTTTGAGAATATATATATATCACCAATACAAAACCGCAAAACTGGATACAGTGAGCTTAACAACAAAAATCAGATCCCAAATTCACAGGAGGCAGCACTTTCTACAGAATCCCCAGTTCAACAAATCAACTTTAAAAAATTAGCATATCTATGAGTCCAAATCTATTAATTCTTTAGACTACAAGGTTATGCTGGTGCTTATCATGGAAGGTGAATGAGGAGAAATTAAATTCAAATTTTTATACATTTTTATTGAGTATTGGTGCAGTAAGAAATTATATACCATGCTCTGTGGCAATTGGAGAAATTATCTAGACGGAAGACCTCCTTTCTAATATCAGAGTATAATTCAAACTTTTATATCTTTTTATTATGTGTTGTTACTACCTAGTAGCAGTATTGCCTGCGCACTTTGTTTGACATTCAGTGCTGGTTTCTGACACATCCCACACATCAATGTATTTGCCAACTGATGATATTTATTGTAACAGTACTATCTATTTTTTAACATAGTGTTGCTTGGAATGGGTCCCTTGGTTAGCTTTGGGTATGTGGTCTCCCTTTGCAATGAGTTACAATGTAATGATCAATGTATAAACATTCATCATTCTTAGCAATAAAGGTACTTATCAAAAAGGAAAAATCTCACCCAGCCTAGGCCAGCTAGTTTATTAAGAAATAGAGAAATTGACCAGAACTGACACAAGGTGGCCAAGAGGCAGGTTTAAGCCAGATATGCGTCTTTGTTAGTCTGGTTTCCACTCTAGTTTTCGTAATATCTCTATAGCACAAATTAATAACAGAAAAAAAAATAAAATTAGGCAAGCAAGAAACTCAATATACCTCTGTATAGCCAACCATACTGATTTCTGGATGGGTAAAGCAAGCAGCAGGAATGCTCATGTGATTGACTACATGATCCCTCCCAGAAACTTGTTCAACGACTGACAAAATATATTAACAGGCCAATGAGAGTGATTGGTAAGAACAGAACCAGTAAAACAGAGGTAACAAGTAGTCAAGCAGTTGTTGTCTCAGTCTAATATGAAAGTATGCGAAAGTCCCAAAGCTTCAACCAATGCCAAGACTTGGAACCAAGCCACGTTGACGTGCCCAGTCCCAGGTCGAAGTTACTAAAATCAAAACGGACAATCTAGACTAAACTAATTATGAGTCTTTATTTTTGTGTAAAAGCAAAGGTCAAGCAAATCATTCATATAAAAGCATTCTCTTAATCTTTAAGGAGAGTTACTTAAAAAAAGGAAGTTGGTCAAACTGGTGGACCTGAGATTCCTTGTGCACTAGCAGTATGCGCAAGCATCATTTTCCCATTTGCATCTCCAATACAATATACATGAGGAACCTGAAAAGGAAACCATGCTTGATATACAAGACACAAACTAGGAAGTCGTGATAATATAAAATGATCAGCAATAATGAAGCTATGAAGGCAACTAATGGCAGACCAGTTTCCCATCGGCATCAATTACTCGCATCCGCTCATCAACAGGAACAAATCCACGTTCAGTCACAACATTAATCTGCACATGAACACAAAGATTTCATCAAAGTGGAGTTGTAGGCCTGTAGCCCTCCATTATATGAATCCTGCCAATACTTACATTCTCCAAACCAAGGCCCTTTGTGAATGGTGCCCTTCCAGTTGCAATAAGTGCTGCATCTACCTACATGAATAGTGTGAACCAGATTTGTTAGGAATTGCCTGCACAATCATGTAACCAACAACCATTGCGAGTAACATATATATATATATATATATATATATATATATATATAAC